CTCCGAGCAGATATGAGTTTACAAAAGATGCACAAAATGGCTAAAGTATACTATCAATAACTCTTCATGGCAAAATCATGAACTAAAGACCAAAATAAGGTGATGAATGAGGTGGTTTAGTTTGTTCCATAAAAGGTCAATGGCTTGTCTGTTAAAGCTCTATGTAAAATGTTCACACTTGATAAACTAAAGGAAGCAATAAGGGATTTGAATGATGATAAAATGCCTAGGGAAAATAGAATGCCACTAGCATTTTATAAAGCAAACTAGGAATAAATAGAGCTAAAAATCTTGAGCACAAGGAATAAAGTGATGCATATGGGAGAATGGCTTTTAGAAGCAATTGATAGGATTATTGCACTCATCCCAAAAGGGGGGGGGGGGATGTATCTTTGATCAAGAATTAGAGGCCGATTTTAATGTTTAATACGCTTTACAAGATCATAACTAAGGTGTTAACTAAAAGATTAAGATCAATTTTGCTAAAGATGATACATGACACTTAAAATGGTTTTGTAGGAGAGAGATAGTTGGTAGACAATATCAATACTGTTAACACATGAATAAGTTAAGGATTGTGTATTGCAAATGTCATTGATTCTGCTAGATTATGAGAAAGCATACAATAGAGTGGACTGGGAGTTTCTACAAAATATGATGAGAAAAATTGGTATTCTAAATAAATTTGTAAGATGGATAGCTACTCTTTACCAACATGCATTAAGAAAAGTTGGCAACACAAACAATCAATAAGATAAGGATGTCCATTACCTTCTTTCTGGTTTTTATTTGTAGCTAATGCATTAGCACACTATCTAGCAAGACTAGAAGAGCTGGAAGGGATAGTGTTACCTGGGTGTTATGACTCTTTGCAAGATATGGCTACAACTATAGAAAATTAATTGAAGTTTAGTACTTTTGCAGATGACACTGAATAATAACAAAAGGCTCCTTGGAAAACATGAACAAGATTAAGGAGGATCTTGACTTTTTCAATCTGTAGCAAGCTCAAAAAAAT